GATACTTCATGAAGAAAGACCGGCAGGAAAAATCTGAAATAATAATGGCAGTCTGATTGATTACTACAAGAACAAATAAGTTGTTTGCCCAGGAGCCATCAAAGAAGTGGTTGGGACCTCTCAGAACAAACTCCCTTCCAAGACTAAGACTCAAGGGGAATACATGAGCAGGCAGGTGGTCTGGCTGGTGACCACATTGATCACTGATAAGGGGAAGAGGGGAAAAAACAGCAATTGAAGTTGCGAGCTAAGTCTGACCACATTCAATAGACCCCTGTGAACTCAGGTGGAGACCTGAATGGCCAGCAGTACGACAAGACCCGGAGACTCCTGGGCCCAGAGGCAGTGACATGACCACAGAAGACTAGAATGGAGAATGAAGCGTCCAGCTGATATGAAGTGAGGGGAGATACACAAGAACACCCATACTTGCAGATAGCACCCACTTAAAATGCTTACTGATGAAGATCAAAGACTACAGCCATCAGTATGGGTTGCACCTCATTGTAAAGAAAACAAAAATCCTCACCACTGGACCAAAAAATAACATCATTAGTGAGTTAATGCATTGAACTGCAAAGTTGGTTTGATCCACAAGGTCAGCGGTTCAAGCTCACCAACCGCTCCTCGGAAACCCTACACAGGGTCGCTATGGGTCAGAACCGACTCGATGGCACTTAACAACAACAACAACAAATAGAGAAAAGATTGAAGTTGTCAAAGACTTCATTTTGTTTGGGTCCACAATCAACACTCATGCAAGCAGCAGGCAAGAAATCAAAAGATGTATTGTGTTAGGTAAATTTGCTGCAAAAAGACCTCTTTAAAGTGTTAAAGAGCAGAGGTAGCAGTTTGAGGACTAAGGTGTACCTGACCCAAACCGTGGTATTTTCAATAACCTCATATACATGTGAAAGTTGGATAGTGAACAAGGAAGACTGTAGGAGCATCAATACATTTGAATTAAGGTGTTGGAGAAGAATATTAACAGTATTATGGGCCATCAGAACAAACAGATCTGTGTTGGAAAATGTACAGCCAGAATGCTCCTTAGAAACCAGGATGGCGAGCCTTCATCTTTTGTAGTTTGGACATGTTATCTTGGAGGGGCCAGTTCTTGGAGAAGGATATCATACTTTGTAAAGTGGAGGGTCAACGAAAAAGAGGACGACCCCCAACAAGGTAGATTGGCACAGTGGTAGCAGCAATGGGATCAAGCGTAGCAATGATTGTGAGGATGGGTCAGGACCAGACGATGCTTCATTCTGTGTTTGCATAGTGTCTCTGTGAGTCAGTGATTTCAGCAGACCTTCCAGACTAACCCAGGCTAGGAAGAATAGCTTGCCAATCTCCTTCCACAAATCAGTCTATGAATCACAATGGTCCAATCCTCAAGGGTCCATGGAGATAGTGCAGAACTGGGGAGCGTTTCATCCCACTGTGTGTGGGGTCGCAGTGAGTTGGGCGGACTCAAAGGCAGTTAACAAGAGAGGACTTCCTAAAACGATTTTACTTTAGGTGGCAGTAAACACCGCAGACAGAGAGGTGGTGATTGCACATGATGTGTTGGCCGGGAAACAAACCCGGGTGAGAATTTTACACTGAGCCACAGTGCTGATCCCCGGGGAGCTTAGACTCTCAGGCCTGCCCGAGACCTACTGGACCAGAATCTGCCCTTACTGGACAAGCCCAGGTGATCCTCCCAGCGTGGAAATGCTGGTCCAGACTGAAATGTACAAGTATTAATCTTGATGATGACTCCTGTTGGCATCAGCATGCTGACATTCTGTTTCCAACCACTGTTGTAAAATGTAGATAATGTATAAAATGTTCCTTTTTGACCATATTTAAGTGTACAATTCATGGACCCGAATTACAATCATCATGCTGTGCAACTATCATCGTCATCATCCATTTCCAAAACTTTACCATCACCCCAAATAGAAACTCAGTATCCTTTCAGCAATAACTCTTCACTAGTACCCTCTTCCCCCCAGCCTCTAATTACCACTCATCTGCTAACTGCAGGTCGATGGTTTAAAGCCACCAGCCACCTTGAGGGAGACAGATGAGAGTCTCTGCAAAGATTTACAGCCTTGAAATCCCTATACGGAGTCACTGCCCGAACTGACTCAATAGAACTGCATTTGTGTGTGTGTTTAACCCTCTTTCCTCCAAGTCTCTACTCCTCTTCTCTTTGACTGTAGACATTTGTCTAGTCTAGATATTCCATAGAATATGTGTCTTTGTGTGCCGGACTTATTTCATTCAGCATCATAGTTTCAAGGTTCATCCACGTTGTGGAGTCCTGGTCTAGCTGTGGGATAAGCACAGGATGGCTAACCACAAGATTGGCAGTTTACACCCTTCAGCTGCTCCTTGGAAACCCTATATAGGGTGGCTATGAGTGAGAGCCAACTCGACTGCACTTAACAACAACAATCTCTGGTGTGGCGCTGTAGGATACGTGTGGGATTGGTAAGCCCAGGATCGGGAGTTCAAAGCCAACCAGCCACTCTCAGGAACCCTACACAGGGTCCCTCTCAGTTAGAATCGACTTGGCAGCATACAACAATTTAAAGAACCCTGTTGTCACTTTAGGATAAGCACTGAACTACTATCCATAAAGTCAGCAGTTTAAACCCACCAGCCACTCCCCAGGAGAAAGATAAGGCTCTCTGCTCCCATAAAGATTTACAGCCTCAGAAACCGCAAAGGGCCACTATGAGTCGGAATAGACTCGATGGTCGTGGGATATGGTACTTTATATGTAACTTTTTGAGGAACTCCCTAAACTGTTTACCTACCTGGGTATTCTTGAGTAAAGTTTCTTTGTCTATAAACTCCACCTATTTGAGGAGTTTTTTTTTAGAGAATAAAATGAAATGATGTGAAAATTGATGAAGAGTGAGTTATTTTTGGAGTCTTGGTGTGGTGCTGTGGGGTAATGTGTCTTGACTGCAAAGTCATTTGAACTGCAAGGTCGGTGGTTCAAGCTCACCAGCTGCTCCTTGGAAACCCAATACAGGGTCGCTATGGGTTGGAATAACAAGTTATTTTTGTTTTGTTTACTTTAAGAAAGGACCCCATAATTTCCATAGCTGTTGTGAATACAATTTCTGGCAAATTCCCTTTCCAATTTTCCTCGTTTACTCTGTGACATGGTCAAGTCATAGTATTTGGTTCCTGATTAATATAGTGAGGGATGATGGTGGCCCAGGGAACACAGCCTGGTATCTTTGGAGCCGAGATGGGAGGGTTTTGTAATTTGGCTGAAAGGCATCACTGTGGTCAGTGGGGCCATTTATGCTGCTAACAAAACTGTCATGAGTTGTGTTGTGACTTTTGCAGCAGTGTCTGGGATCCCCAGGGGTGCATTTCAACAGAACACACGCCCACTTAGCAGCCATGACAACTTTTATTGTTTCCAAACATCACAGTCAAAGCAGGAAACAAAAGTTATATTAGCAGATCTTCAAGTACAAAAAAGAAAAGCCATTGTATTCCAGCACAAGACAAACGTATCACAGCTGACTAAAGACACAACCAAGTATAAGAATTCATGAGAAGGAAGATGTGAGGGCAGCTCGGAGGCACACACTCAAGTTACCCAGGGTAGGAACGGGTCGGCTGGATGCTTGTACGATGCTGCAGTCTTCAGCCCATCTCTCCCTACACTTACAGGAACCAATTGCTTGGCTTGACAAGGTACTGATGTTGTAACAGGATCAGTCCCATGCTAACACTATGTCAAACAAGGAATCAGGAACAGTGAAACTCAAAAGCCACCATTCTCTTTCATAGATGGCATTGGGGAAATCATATTACAGTGACACAGTGATTAGGATGAGCAGAGAAAGAAATCTTAAGCAAACACCCAGCTTCCTGGTTATCTCACAATGTCTCAAACTACCTGAGACTGCAGTGAACAATTTCAGGGGACTGATTCTTTGCCACTGCAATTCCTTTTCTTGCTTTATAGACAGAAAAGGAGTCACAGGGAGAAAAAAAAGGAGTTTTTGGGTTTTTTTACAAAGGAATAATGTATATTTTATTTATTTATTTATTTTTAATGTTTTATTGTGAATTATATGATCGTTCACATGAGAGAACCTCAGTTCCATATTCATTCCATCGTATATCATTACATTGCCATGGTTCCAATCCCCTCCATGCATTGTCTAGTAATGTATACTTTAAAATAGCAAGTATCAAAATACGTTTTACATAGGAATACTCTGATTGTCCCAAGCACTTTGCCTCTCTTTCATTAGCATCTGGATGGCTACCTTAGGTTTAATGCACTAAACCCCCACACAATAGCCCCAAACAACAGTGACAACAACACCACCAGCAACAGCAGCAGCAGGAAAAAAGAGGAGCAGGTCACACCCCCATGCTTTTATTCTGGAGTGAGGGAGAGCGAGTGTCGGGGCCGGAGGAAAAGTCAGCCTAACATTATTCCTTTTCCCAATGAGACAATTGCATTTAGAAAATTGTCTTTCTGTGAGAGGGAGCGACAGTGTAAAAAGTCATAGTCTCTTCTCAAGGAAGAGGCATCTAAGCAGCTGACAGAGGAAGGTTGGTAGCTGTAGCAGGTTTGTCAGCCAGAGATTTGAACCCCGTTCACTGTAGATGAGATTCCATCGGTCTGGCCTGAATGGAAGGAAGCCTGAAGAGAACCGTGAAGTAGATGTGCGAACTTGGGGTGTAGAGCAATGGGTGCAGATAGAGCTCGGAGCATCCTCCACTCAGTCCCCACCCCGTGATCCTTTGAGAAATCAGACTTTATGACTTACCCACCTTGGACTCTGTCAGAAAGGCTGCTACATATCATTTTCTTCTCCAAAGACTTTGCACCTTTAAAAAGAAAAACACATGTAAGATCATGGCTGATAATACATATTTTGGGTCTGCAATGCGTTCGTTGTTTTCTTTGTAAACCTCTTGGTGGGTCAGACAAGGAGCAGACTTATCCCCTTGCTCCTGGCCCTGGCATCCTAGCCCAAGTTCATGCCATTACAGTGGCACAGAATCTCCTTAAAGGTGTTTCGCAGCTCCAGGCTCCGGAAGGCGTAGATGAGGGGGTCGATGACTGAGTTACACATGATGAGAACCAGGTAAGTGTTGAAGTGGGCAGTGTAGCAGACGCAGTAGGGGTTGGTGGGGCAGGTGATGATGAGGACCAGGTGGAGGAAGAAGGGGGCCCAGCAGAAGATGAACACCCCCAACAGGATGGTGATGGTGACGGCCCCCTTCATGCACGAGTGCTGGGGCGGGGCCACGCCGTCGGCGGGTGGCAGAGCCGCGATGCGCTTGACGTGCAGCCTGGCGAAGAGGAACATGTGCACGTAGAGCGTGCCCATGAGCAGCAGCATGGCGAAGAACATGGTGATGAGGCAGACGATGACCATCTTGCTCTCGGAGTAGACGATGAACACCACGCCGCAGATGCCACAGCAGAGCCAGATGGCCGAGATCATGCCGAGTGCCTTCCTCACAGTCATGATGCTGTGGTAGCGGAGCGCGTAGAAGATGGTGACGTATCTGTCGATAGCGATGGCCAGCAGGTTGCAGATGGAGGCCACCAGGGAGATGCAGATCATGGAGTCAAAGACATTGTCCATATGCTGGATGAACTGGTCCTCGAAGGCCAGGGAGTTGCTGTTGACAACGGCGATCATGACCGTCTCCAAGGCATTGGACACGCTCACCAGCATGTCCGCCACAGCCAGGCTGCAGAGGAAGAAGTACATGGGCGAGTGCAGGTTGCCGTTGCGCACCACAGCCAGGATGACCAGAATGTTCTCCAGCAGGCTGACAATGCCCAGCACCAGGAAGACCTCGGGCTTGATGAAGACCTGCTCGCAGAATCTGCTGCTCTGGTTGGTCAAGGATGGAGCCATGGGGTGCTCTGAGGCGTTGGGCAGCATCGGCTGAGCAGAGAGCAGGCAGCAGGAGGTGTTCATGGCTCAAGAGGGGTGATCAGAGTGGCGGCTCACCAAGTCCGGAAGAAGCTGCTTTCAGGAGAGAATCTCCCCCCAGATGCTTCTGCTTGCAGGGGCTTGTCCAGTCTGGACTTGGAATTGGCCCTTCTCGAATAAAAGGATGGAGGGTGAGAGAGACAGAGACAGACACACATACACATACACACAGAGAGACACACGGGCAGAGAATAAGACAGACACAGACAGACACACAGAGACAGATACACAGAGACAGATACACAGAGACAGATACACAGAGAGGGGTGTTTGCCTGAAGACAGAGAACTTTCTTCTGTTTCTTCCTTCTCCAAGAGGATCAGCTTTGCAGCCCCTCTCATCAGCTGTCTCCGTTGTCTCTCCTCCTGTCCCCCTTCTCTGGCTCTGCTCACATCCCCATCTGGGGACAGGAAACCTGCCAATGGTTGCTACAGTGACGACTGGATTCCATAGCAAAGTAGGTGGTACCTGTCGCTTAATGTGAGGGGAGAAAACTCAGGCTCTATACATGGACTGAGGGCAAACAACTCCTACTTAATCTTCAGCACTGCCAAGTGACCACTGAGCGGTAGGCACGCTCTGACTGACAGCAAGTCCCCTGCTCTGAAGGCTTCTGTGGGAGACAGCAAGGTGGGCTGGCGCCCTCTGCAGGCCAGACGCTGGGATGCTTGCTGGTTCGGCCGAGCAGTTTGTATTTGTCATGGACACAGCCACACCCATCCATCTATCCATCTATCTATCCATCCATCCATCCATCCATCCTCTCATTCCTCTCCCCCCCTGCAAATATTTACTGAGCACCCCCAAAATGTCAGATCTCTGGTGGATGCAGGGAATATAGTGATAAAACAGATATATCAGGTGACAGATTTCTTAATAAAGTAAGCACAGGTTTACTTGTGCTTCTTTACTGATCTGTAGTGAACAACTTCACATTTCTTCACCACATCAAAGATTCTGCTTCTACGATAACGCTATTGAGGTATGCACATCATTTGAGATGAAAAGGACAGGATTGTCCAAGGATAAAGTTCTGAAGGGTTGGGAAAGAAGAAGGAATGGAAACAGGAAACACAGGAGGAAATGGTTACACTATGGGGATTGTAATCAACAAGATGAGACACAATGTGGTTGAATTGTTGAATGCATAACCCATCTGCTCTGTAAACCTTCACCTAATTCAGAAAGAAAAGTTTCAAGAACAAAAAAGAATCTGCTTTTAGGGCTAGCTGGTATCTGTCTCTCTCCCAACCCCACAGCACCTTCCTACAGAATCAAAGCCTCTGTTCAAATGTCTAGTTCCAAACAGGGATAGTATAAGCACTGGACCTCTAACTGCAAGGTTGGCAGTTCAAACCCTCCAGCTACTCTTGGAAACCCTGGACAGGGTCACTATACAATGATAGCAACAGGGATGGACTAGCTGGTATGCAAGATAAGCATGGGTTTACTTGTGCTTATTTACTCATCTGTAGTGAACAATTTCATACCTGAAACCCATGTGAAACTGTTCACTAGAGATGAGTAGGTAAGTACAAGTAAACCCATGTATCCTGGGTGACCCCCCTCTGGTAAAGCCCTGTCTTCCCTGCCTGGAGTGGGAGGTAAGAGGTGATGCACTGACCTTCCGGCAGACTGAATGCTGGGAAAGTCCAGAAGGTGGTACATCCCCTAACCTGGCAGGTCAAAGGAAGGGGCCACTAAGCTATGATTTCAGGAAGCAGCAGCATTCTCCAGGGGGAGGGTGGGCAGTAGGGTGAAGGAGGACTTCCAGTTGAGGGTTAATATACTTATCTCAGACAGAAACATTGAAAGTAACTGGTTGTAGCTAGACTGTAGATTTGGAGGCACAGTTTAGAAGGAAGGCTGCATTCCACACCCCACCCTCCTGAGGGTACAAAAATCTCTGGATCCTGCAGGACTCTGTTGGCCCTCTTTGAGAGTCTGGACTGCATCCTGACAGCAAGGGGTCAATGAGGCCATGGGGTCTGCATTTTAGAAAGATTCCTGGTCGCAAGGTGGAGAAGATTGGGTCGGGAAGGGGTGAGCGTGGATCCAGGAAGCCAGGGCAGAGGGTGCTGGGGAGACAATAGGGGCTTGGACCAAGCGTGGGGCAGTGGGACTGTGGAGAAGTGGACAGAGAGATTCAGGTCCTGGCTGCACAGGGGATGGTGGGTTCGAGGGCAGAGAACACCCCAGCTTCCATCCTATGGAAGGATGGAGATGCTCTTTGAGCTGGAATATTCAAGAGACTGAACCTAGACATTGGCCTGTGTGGTTTAATACTGAGCTCAGATGAATTTGATGTTGTACGTGGGGAATCCATTAGGAAACACAGCATCCCCTCCTCCCTGCACACATCTCCTTACAGATAGATTAGTGGTTCATCTATCTGTCATCCACAGGTTGTCCCAGACATACTGCTGGGACAGTATTTCAACAGCTCAGCTGTAAGTTGATTCTCATATAAGTCAAATATATATATTTATTTAGTTTTCAGTATCCTCATAAATCGCATCTTTGAACATGTGAACCTGTGAAAACCATAACATCAGCACATTGCACACTGCAACATTGTATGTGTTGTTGTTGTTAGGTGCCATCGAGTCAGCACCAACCCATAGCGACCCTATGCACAACACAACGAAACACTGCCTGATCCTGGGCCAACCTCACAATTGTTACCACACTTGAAACCATTGATGCTGCCACTTTGCCAAGCCAAGGGTTTTCCTCTTTTTCTCTGACCCTCCACCTTATGAAACATGATATCCTTCTCCAGCAATTGGTCCCACCTGACAATATGTCTGAAGTATGAGAGAAGAAGTCTGGCCATCCTGGTCTCCAAGGAGCACTCTGGCTGCACTTCTTCCAACACAGATCTATTGGTTCTTCTGGAAGCCCATGGCACTTTCAATATTCTCCTCCAACACCATAACTCAAGAACATTAATTCTTCTAAAGTATTATATGTAATTATTACTAAAGATTCATTGTTAGCTCAAAGAAGCTATTTGCATGTATATATGTGAACCTGTGTATATATATGTATAAAATAGAAGAAGTATGTATATGGAAATATAAGTATTTATAACATTTGGGAGTGATCCTCTTAAGCAAGATGTTGTTGTTGTTAAGTGCCATTGAGTCGGTACTGACTCACAGTGACCCTGTACAGGGTGTCTGAGGAATGGCTGGTGGGTTTGAACTGTCAACCTGTGGTTAGCAGTCCAGTGCTTATCCTACAGTGCCACACAAGGACTCCCAAGTAAGATGTTGTTGTGGTTAAATGTCGTCGGGTTTGATTCAACTCATAGCTACCCAGTATAGGGTTTCCAAGGAGCAGCTGGTGAGCTTGAACTACCCACCTTGCGGTTCAAACCGACCTTGCGGTCCTGCACTTATCCTATAGTGCCACACCAGGACTCCAAACAGCCCAAGTTTTAGTATGGAGAAGGACTCATTAAGATAGCAAAATTTGCCATCTTTTATTTACAAAGAACCTTTTCACATTGATAAGAAAAAGACAAATTACCTGTTAGAAAACTGAACAAAAGATATGGATAAAACTTCAGTGAGAGAAAATGTTAAGTCGCTAATTGTTGCTGTAAGGAGCTCTAGTAGTGTGATGGCTACAGAGTTGGGCTGCTAACCTCAAGGGTCAGCAGTTCGAAACTACCAACTGTTTCTCAGGACAAAGATGAGGCTTTCTGCTCCAATAAAGATTGATAGCCTCGGAAACCCTATGCAGGCTTGCTATGAGTCAGAACCAACTCTACAGCACACCACCACCATTATAACCACCACCAATTGTTGTTAATGCTGTGGGGTCAGTTCCGACTCATAGAGACCCTGTTTAAGGTTTCTGAGGAGCAAATGATGGTGTTGAACAGCAGACCAATCTTGAAGTTCATTGTCCTGCAGCACCACACCCAGACTCCCAGTGGCTAATAAACATATGCAAAGATGTTCAACCTTATGGGAAGTGTGGGAAATGGAAATCAGTTAGGTTGGCAGGAATGAAAAGGACAAGGACTCAGGAGCGGTTCTGGCAGGATGGACGCTGGCTTGCTTTCCTGCTGTTTGTGAATCGTGTCAACATCCGGCAGTTTCTGCCAGAATACAACACACACACACAAGGCACATGCTTGTAAGCATGAAAGCCTAGGAGCTTAGAGTCATGAGAAGTGCCTCTTGTGTTTATTTGGAAGAGTTGGCTTCTAGATTGGGGGAGATTGCAGTTTGAACCATTTTAGGAAGCTGCTCCTCCCCACCTTCAGTACCACAACCAGAAATGCATTTAGACGGTCTTGGTCTGTGGGTTCAGGGGCCCTAATGAGATGGAGTCCTGGTGTGGTGCTGTAGGATAAGCACTGGACTGCTAACTGCAAAGTTGGTGGTTCGAATCCACCATCCACTCCTTGGAAACCCTAGATAGGGTCGCTAGGAGTCAGAACCAACTGGACAGCACTTAACAAAAACAACAAAGAGATGGATTGACCATGGGCTCAAACACAGAACTGATTGTGGGGTGGCACAATGGGCAGTGTTTTGTTCTGGGGCACTTAGAATTACTATGCGTTGGAACCGACTGATGTCACCTAGAAGCAACAAGAAATCTTATCTGCAAGGAGGTTGGTGGCAGTTTTGGACTACCCACTTTCTCCTACAGGAGTCCTGGGGTGGTGCTGTAGGATAAGCACTGGATTGCCAAGGTTGGTAGATCAAACTCACTATCTGCTCCTCTGAATCCGTAAACAGGGCTGCTATGAGTCAGAACTGGTGTGACAACACTTAACAACAACAATCCTCATGTTGGCAAGGTCTCCAAGTTCAGTCCTCAGCCCCCTTCACTAACCATAAAGCTTCAGTTTCTTGGTTAAGACTAGTAATAGAAATTCAGGGAACACTGGGTTCCCTGGTGGTGAAATATGCTTACCTTGGCTGTGGGTAATTTGTGGTTCACAAAAGTCCCTACTTTCTCATCTTCCAAAGAAAGAAAAAAAATATTGATGGTAATTTTTCCTGCTTAAAATTCAGTGTGAAAATTGTAAGAACATTCAAAACA